TTTTACTCGTGTCCACCCAATACAGGGCTCGTGATCCACTCAAGGTAGAGGACTATTGAATGTGTGACATGTATGTAAGAGGAGGTTTTAGGAAGTGAAAATTATGAGGATAAGTGAGATAGGTAACGATTGACCCTAGACTTTAATGTGCTATTCCAGAAAGCACCCAGACCGGAGTCTATTCCAAAAAGTAAAAGTTCTTGGCATAGGCTCTCGGTAGAAATTCTTCTCTATGATTGGAATACGGGGAAAATAAGGACAATTTGAATCCATAGAAGTAATATAGCATCTCCTAGCAGTAAAGATCATGTGGAACGAGAGAATGGAACTCAATTGAACAATTGTTATTGAAATAGCGATAGAATGTGTTTAAATCTACTGAGTCTTGATAATGAGGAATGGATAGATCCAGTCCAGTTATAACAACAATACTTCGTTTTTGCTTTGATCTGGCTCTTGTAATGATAAAGAATTTCAGAAGGAATCAGGTACATTCTGGATCGGTAAGATGAGATTTTTTCTATAACTATTATAAATGAATCGTATATATGAAATCCATTCGAACTTTGAACTGTACTTGAGATCCAAAAGACGTTCATCGTGAGTGGAGAAAATTCAGGATCTAATCAGTTTTACTATTTTGATTTTCACTAATAATGTGTTAAGCAGAAGGTCAGAAGAGAGATCAGATGCAAGGCTCTGAGCATTGTGATTTTGGGAGGTGTTTCCAAAAACTGTGGACGTCCTGGGTAAGACGATAAACTATATCCGCGTCCTGGGTTAGACGATAAACTAAACGTCCGGGGTAAGACGATAAACTACTCGTCCTTGGTATGACGATAATCTTCATCCGCGTCCTGGGTAAGGCGATAAACTACTCGTCCTGGGTATGACGATAAACTACATCCACGTCTTGGGTAAGACGATAAACTAAACGTCCGGGGTAAGACGATAAACTACATCTGCGTCCTGGGTAAGACGATACGCTAAGTCCGACAGCAAAGCCTCTGGAGGTTTGAGGAGCGTGAGACCACCTCTTAATTGCTAGTGTTCTCAGGTCCTACCTGACCCGTGGTGGTAGCACCTGTTAGGGTCCCATCTATGGTCAAATAGTTAGCCCCAAAATTGGGGTCAAAACACTATGAAAGTGTAAAAATAGGTTTTAATACCCGAAATACTTTGTAAAAAAATTATTAACAGCAATAAATTTTTGAGAAAAATATTACCAGCAATACATTTTTAAAAAAATATTACCAGCAATACATTTTTTGAAAATAATGTTACAAGCGATACATATCTGAATGAAAATTACCACCAGAAATAGATTTTTGAAGGAAAAACATATTACCAACAATATAAATAACCCATTGACGTTGATATGCCGTAAAACAAACCAAACCAAACCAAAAACTGTTGCATCTTCTGCATAAATGTTTACTGGTGATCTGAGAATGCGTCTAGGCTAATTGTTAATACAATGCAGAAAGGTGGTAGGAAATATGGCAGGAGTTTCAAAAGACTAGCCATTAACACCGACCTTCTTGGAACTACACGAATGAATTCTTCTATAGTTGCATGGCAGTAGGAGTCAAGAACTTTCAGCAATGGCACAAAGAACCGTTCATATCTTCAGCTTCATTAGGAATCCATTATTTATCTCTTAAAGATGAGAGAACAGCTGCGAGGCTTCGATCAAGATCCGTCGAAAACTGAAAGAGGATATTGACCAATGAAAGAGCTTTGAGGAACGCCTGCATTGATTGAATGAGCTTCGGAAGACTGGCTATTCACAGTGACCTTCTTGGACCAATCTGAAAGAATTTGATAAATACGTAATCATTTTTCAGGGATGCCATACCTGGATTGTTTTCTGGCAACCCTTTATACCACACGTTTTACAAAGGCTTTGAGATAAACTGAAGACAATCGCAAACACACTGAGCGCTTCTGAAGGGATTAGGAATTAAAATATCAGCGAAACCCATATTGTTTGTCGCTAAGGGGGTTGTTTATAGTAAGGGGATCAACACAAAACCGTGCAAGTCTACCATTCGTCCATGCTTAGAATATTGCTACCACATATGGTCCGGTGTCCCTGCTATATACCTTGAGCTCCTTGATAAGATCCAAAAAAGAACCAGTAATATTATTTGTCCTTATCTGGTGACTCGGCTTCACTCACTTTCTATCGCCCTAAGGTAGCCTCTTTGTGAATTTTCTAAAAGACTTTCATGATAATTGTTCGTTGTGATACTTAGACTTTTTTGAATTTAAGCGCAGTACCAGACTGTTGTCGCGATCTCATCAATTTACAGTTGAGTTGGATAGATATAGCCGTAAGTTATATGTCAACAGATTCTTCTCTCACTTGTGGAACCCCCTTCCGGCTCCATGCTTTCCAGCCAACTTTAATTTGCAAAAATTAAATGCAATGTCAATCACTATCTACTTCCTCCTGATTACACTTTTCTCTTCCCGCTCATTATTAATGTTTCTGTTC